AATGCCGATCGCATGCTCGTATGTAAAATATTCATTTGAAATGCGATATTTTATAAAAGGGCAAGTGGTGATGGTGCATGATAGGCGGGCATGGACGGTTCGAGTTGCGTGCCTTTGCGATATTCACCTGTCGACGGTTTCATAAAAATTACAATTAGAACGAAATACACGATTTATTTTATTCCCGTCGCAATTCGACGACTTCTCGCAGGCGATATATTCCCGTCACATGTTGCTCGCTAAGCCATATCCGGGTGATTAATTAAATCTACGAGGAATCGCTCGCGTACGGAGAGCCCCGCGGCATCGGCGCATCGGGAACGTGCTTTCCATGAATTTTTCATATTTAGCGGCCGGTAATCGTAAACGCGTCCCGGTTTTATGAATTGCTGCCCTTTCGCCGGGGCGGACAGTCGCCGGAATGCTGATGTGCAGCGCGCCCGCCCGACCCGTTCTCGATCTACTGCGGATCGTGACAATGATGGCACAGCCGCTAACTGCTACTTTGTGATAAACGCTTTAGTTTTACGACGGCCGCAGTTTTCCTAAGTGCTCCATTAAAATTCCGCTCTCGCACTATTATTCTTAAATACTAAACCACTATTTTGAAATCGATACGCAAATGCATGTGATTGAGCTACATAAGAAAACCTTTACTCAATCATTCAAACTTTGACGCATGCAGGGTTATAATTGCTGCATTAAGGACAGGATAATCGGATCAAAAATTGAATATTTCATCGCCTTCCCTTTCGAATCATCTGTACGTAAACCTGCCCTTTCCCAGATTACGAGATTAATTGATGCAAATTGGAAATTCGAATAAAATTATTTTACTTCCCATACATGAAAATTACCCGAAGAAACTCCCACGTATAAGGCCTATAAATACAAGATGGGACAACGCTTGTACTTACAGACATACGCACTCGTGTTTACAAACCGCGAGCTGGACGTGTTTTATGGGTAATTAAACGGACCGAAAACAAGTGAAAGCACTTTTCTGAAAAACAATTACCTCTCTCAAACCGGCAATTTACAGGCAATTCCAAAGCTGAAACTAATTTTACAAGGCGACTATTAAAGTCAAAATGTACTTACATTAAACGAGCGCTCTGTAGCGTAGCAAAATAAGCTCTTAGTTGATAAATTATCTATTAATTAGCTAGTTATCATTTATTAAATGAAAATTACAGTATATCTCAATGTAATTTTGATGAGGAACTCTTTGATTCGAATGCTTAAGAGTAAGATATACTCAATTTTGAAACCGAAATATTTATTTTATTCCACGCTATTCTCTACTTCTAGTAGTACTCATACTCATACTCATATCTTCCTCATACCACCCTGTATGTTTGTATGGATATATTCGATAATCCACCGAACTATTTCGAACGCAAATTATTTATAGAGCAGCTCAAACGCGGAAAAAAACAACGAGCTGGATAGTGTTAACAGAAGATTATTAGTAGAATGACATCGTGGTGCTTTGATCTTCGGCTCGACAAATCTCCTTCCGCTACCTTTCTACAGTTTCTAATCCATCTGGGCGCATTTTTAATTCTACTAGCATGTAAGTTTTTACTTGCCGATGCTATAATTGAAGCGAACGGTATTAATGGCGTATCGGATATCAAAGAGAGGGAGGATTCGGATTTTCGATTTGGATTTGTTAGTTTTCTGTGAATGATTTTATTGTGAATAATTTATTGGGAATTCTGGTGTAACTATGGTGCCTATTGAGGTTTTTAAGTGATGTAAAAATGTGTTAATTAAATGTTTTTCTATACAAGTTACATGTGCAAATGTTTGAAGCTAATAAAAAATGAATTGAAAACGACTCAAAATAGTTATAAATTACTCATATTGTTCACTAAAAATTTTTCTTTAATACAAGTTAATTAAAATTCGAGACGAACATTCGCGCTTAATTGATACGATATAAAAGCATCCTCGTTGCTGGATATTACAATATTGTTAATTTCAATTACGGCGCAAATCGTTTTTGCATGAAGGTTTTCCCGCGAAAACGCTCCGAGTTTCTCATTTATCAAAGCTCCGTGCAATTTCTCTTTATGTTCCTTAACGTCGAGCGTCTTCCGATGTATGTAAATCGCGAGCGGAGTGACATTTACTAATTGTTTTCAACTCCGACGACTAAATCTGACGTAATAAAACGTCCGAAGATTCCGCGACTTTTATTCGAAAAGCGCCACTGGAACATCAATTAATTTACTTAATTAATCCGGTTAGAATAAAACGAGGCGCTTCCTAATCTATCACCAACTGAACTTCTTCCGGCCGGAGTCGCTCCGATAAACCGGGGGAGGGTCGCAATTAAAATGTCGTGAATCAAAATTCGACATTCCGCGCGGAACGGGGCCCGCACAATGGCGAAGGGCCTCATCAAAACCTGATCAAACTCAGACGGAATGCCGGGACTTCGCAATACTCGAGTGTCATTGTGTGTTTGTAGTTCGAGCTATAGCTTCGACTATACAGCTATAAAGGGAATTTTTACTCTCTTTACTATATGCCAGCGGCGTAGTGTTCCGCTCAATTTGATCCAGTGGGATAAAGGAAATTAATTAACTCGAAACCTAATCAAAAAAACATACCGAAATGTATATGAGCCCTTTGTACCTATACATTCCGATAATCCGAAATGCGCAAAAAATTTTGGGATTAAATTTATTCAGGAAGTAGGTATAATATATCCAATTTTCATGCTTCATTCTCTGCGGCTCTACTACGTTAGTGGAAATTTCAATGGTAAAAGAGGAGCTGACAGTTTTAACTTTGAGCAACCAGAACTTCAAAGTCCGACCTCAACCGGTAGAATCTCAATCTCCAGTCATTCTCAGAATTTCATTAAGCGTTTAATTTACACTCGAACGACGGGAGTCACTGGAGGGAAATTGTCCACCTAAAAGGGACATTTACCAATTTTAACAATTTATTGCGAACAATCACGCGGCGTTGCCGGACCGCGTGCGATGTCCCTCGTTTGGGGAATAATAAACAGCGATATTTAGCGGCCGTAAACTCCGGGCGCCGGAACATTAGCATGCGATCTACACCTGACCATTAGGAACTATTACATATTAGGTCCGTCACGTGATGGGGCTTTTAATTGATCCGGTTTTCATTACGGACCGCAGACCACGGGCCGAAACAATAAGCTCCGGGAACGTTTAGTCGTTACGTGCCGTCGACTATTCGGGCAATTTGCTCCGGGCATTTTTCACACGGTAGAAAATCTAACGCGCCGGTTAAATTAACCGAGCGTTAAAATATAACTACGGATCATGTTGTATTGCTAACGCCATTAAACCGCTCGGTTAATTCTTAATTAATTGTTGAAATTCGTTAATAATTTATTGCTCGAATCGCGGGAACTGTTGCTAATCCGTCAATAAATTTTCGCCTGCGATCTATTATTAGATTATATGGCGATTCGATTCGTATAGGAGACGGTTTATTGACACACAAACGGCCTGTGACAAGTCAAAATAATTCAGCAAGAGTAATGGCTTTTGAATGGAAGTTTTGCGGGCGGACTCGAAATTCATTCATACCTACTGTATGAATTATTATAGATTTGTTACATATAATTTTTATCTGAGTATAGTAGTATTTTTTTGATTCGGTTAAGCGATAATACATTATAAATTCTGCATTTCGACTGAGGCTATGGTTAGTTGAGTTTCGTTACTTATTCCACGTATAGCTGCTAAATTAACATAAAACACTAAAAAAGTTGAGTTAAGTGCATTTATCAATATTGCATGACGGCATGCGAAATGAAATCCTATCGAGAAACAAACGTTACAAAGTTTAGAAATTAGTTAATTTAAAATGCATTTGCTCAATTTTATTAAAATTATTTATTATCTCTTGATAAATTAGTAGACTCATATTAACATTATTTTGCATTAAAAACAATATCATTATTATAATCAAAGCTCATTATGTATGTATGTAATTAAATTACCTTATATTGCAATAATGATGATGCCAATTTAAAGTGATTATTTTAAGGTAAAATTTCGACTCGATTGAGAATAATAAGGCACAAAACCTTAGGCAAGTAAGTACACGAGTGCATCGAAAGATCGAGGGAATTATTAATGGGGCGAGAAAGTTCTTTTTCGAGTCGGGCAAAGAGCGTTTTTCACTCAAAAAAATCCCATGTAAATTACTAAAACAGGTCACATTCTCACTTTCATGAATATCGCATGAGATGCGGCAACTTTTCTGGTTATTTTTCGTAATTAGCCTTACTTAGGGCGAGCTCGAAAAAAGGATGTGTACATGCGAGAGAAATGTTCGTCGACTGGATTAACAAGATTTTCGAGTCGTTAGTACTGTAGTGGAAAAAGTCCTGTAAAGTACTCTAATTCGGTGCACTTGCGGCATTGTTTTTTCTACGGATCGTAAATAATTGTAATGCTTGCTCGCTTTTCTCGACGGAGTAAAACCAGAAAATGGAAAAGTCAGTTCCGTGTCGCGCGTTTTCCTTTCTTTCTCGTCGTGATTAGATAATAATGCGGTCGGGAGCTTATCTGCCCTCGTATAGAATAAAAGGTATAGGGAACTTTGTTTTTCTTTTTTTCCACTTCGATAAGTTTTATTACTTGGCGAGAGTTTGTATTTTCGTATTTTCCACGCCGGGTGAATTGTTAATTTGCATGCGACCGTTTCCTGCGGACGCCATTAATTTAACTTTCGTTAAAGGATAATATTTATTTTGTTAAACCGTTTTTAGCGATGAACGAAATGAATCTAAAATCAATAAGATACTGTAAAGCAGAATAAATTATTGTTTTATTATTTTTAAGCAATGTATAAGGACCAAAATAATCAGCGTATGACATTGAATTTGCAAATGCTTCGATAATGATAGTCGATTTATAATAATATTCATAATGCAAATCTAAATAGTCCATTCAATTTAATATATGCTGGCGTTCAAAGTACACGCTTTAGGTTTTGTTCTTAAAATAAATTGTTTACTTCGTTAAATTTTTGTTCGTTAAACATGTACGTTGGGATAAAGTTGCTGTTGTTCAGCCTATGGGCAACTACAATAAATGCAGGTAAATTATATATGGTCGCATTTATATATGGTTATATGACACCAATATGACCAATTCTATGAGGTAAACAAAGAAAGATCACAGTAGTTAGAGACAGAAAGTTGCAAACCTACAATATCACTCAGTCTTTTTCCTTTATATGAGACTAATGAAAGTTGTATTGTTAACATTAAAATCAGCGTTATTGAAACCAAATTGAAACCTGCCTACTCCAATCTACTAAAGTTATTTAATTATTTTCTAGGGTTATTGAACTATTTACTACCTGTTACCGATAAACTTATGAAATTTCATATTTACACACAAAGCAACAGAACGAGCGATGTTGCAACAAATATTTCCGATCCCCAGGAAGTTATGAAAACCGGCTTCGATAGATCCAAGGAAACTTACATTTGCGTGCACGCTTGGACCGAATCCGAGTTCTTTCCAATAAACACGTGCAAAGGATTCAAAGACCTCGTCCTGGACTCGCACGATGTGAATGTAATTTACATCGATTGGAGCATTTACACTACCAATCTCTTTTACTCTTACCTGGTGCTAAAGTTGCATAAATTCGCTGACGTGATGAGCGGGCAGATTAAAAATATGGTGGAGACAAGTGGATTGGATTTGAATAGAAGTCAAATCGTCGGTACTTCATTGGGAGCTGAGTTAGCTGGAGCTATCGGTACTGAACTAGATGGGAAACTATACCAAGTTATTGGTAAGATAATCATTCCATGATAAAAGATTCCTTGAGTATCACTATAAAATTTGGTACACTGGTTCCATAGAGAAAGTGTACCAAAAAACCATTCTGAATTTAAGAGTATAAGTAAGTTTTTCTTAATTCAAGGTATTGAACCTGCTGCTCCGATGTTCTATCACTCCTATCCCAAAACACGCATAACGAAGAAATCAGGACAATTCGTCCAAGTAATTCACACTGCCAGTGGTATTATGAGTCTCGGTTATCACGGTCAAATGGGTCATGCTGATTACTGGGCTAACGGCGGTGAACAACAGCCTTGGTGTATGTTAATTGATATCGGTAGAATATGTTCTCACAGCGTGTCACCATTTTTGTATGAAAATACGTTGAAGAATGGAGCCCATAACGTTGCGACCAAATGCGATTCGTATAAAAATTACCTCAGTGGTGCTTGTAAGGATAACGATAAGTCTGTGGTAGGAGGATTTCACGTTGATAGAAAGTAAGTTTTTTGTGTAGAATGATACATATGCAAGTTGCGTGCTAATGAAACTCTCGTACTGTTATTATTATTGGGAGAATTATTAGAGTACCTACTGCGTAGGCATCTTCGTAAACATAGTAATGAGAAATGTTAACAGTTATTGTCTTCTTTTAGCGCAAGTGGAAATTATTACTTCAAAGGCGATGGATACAAAGATTATTGAAACAGTAACTTGTACGAAAAGCATATTATTAATAAAAAACAAATTATTGAAAATTTGAATTCAGTAAAAATATATATTACCAACGTTTAGGTTTGCATATTTTTCGATAGTAATGCTTGATTTACTTTTCCGCCAGCATACAATAGAAGGTAGTATTGTAACGATAGTATTGTATTGTGTAGTAGTAAATGCTTTACTTTATGTTCTTAAAATAAATGTTAACTTCATTTTAATTTGTGGATAATGGTTATAATAAAAGCAGTTATTCCTTAATCATGTTCCTTGTAATAAAATTGCTGTTGCTCAGCATTTGTGCAACTAGAATAAATGCAGGTAAGTTAGCATTAAATTCAGTGATATTTTTGATTTTTACGTTTGTATAGTAATAATGAACTTTTGTTTCCTCCACCAAAATTGAAAGCATAAAATAAATCTATCCAAAATACAAGTTTCACGAAGTCTAGAATATCAAGTCAGCTAATAAATCTATAATATTTTCTAGGGTTACTAAACTTTCTACTACCTGTCAGCGATAAACTTATAAAATTTCGTATTTACACGCAAAACAACAGAACGGGAATTTTTGGAACAAACATCTCCGATCCACAGGAAGTATTAAAATCCGGTTTCGATAGTTCCAAAGAAACTTACTTTTGCGTAAACGCTTGGACCGAATCCGAGCTATTTCTAGTAAACTCGTGCAAAATTTTCAAAGATCCGGTTCTGGATTCGCACGACGTGAATTACATTTACGTCGATTGGGGCATTTACACTACCAACATCTTCTACTCTTACCTGGTACTATACATGCAGAAATTCGCTAACGTAATCAGCGGACAGATTAAAAACATGGTGGAGACAAGTGGATTGGATTTGAATAGAACTCAAATGATCGGTGCTTCATTGGGAGCTCATTTAGCTGGAGCCATTGGTACTGAGCTAGATGGGAAACTGTACCAAGTTATTGGTTAGTCTTTTTGATTTTTGAAGCTGAACTAATCCAATTACTATTATCACTACAATATTCTGTACATTATTTGGGATTTTTTTTTAATTTGAAGGTCTGGATCCTGCAGGTCCGATGTTCTATCACTCCTATTCCCAAACCCGCATATCGAAGAAATCAGGTCAATTCGTCCAAATAATTCACACAGATAGTGGTATTATGAGTTTGGGTTATCACGCTCAGTTGGGCCATGCTGATTACTGGGCTAATGGCGGTGAACATCAACCTTTATGTTTGTTAATTGATATCTTTGGAATGTGTTCTCATGCAATGTCGCAAGTAACGTATAAAAATACGCTCTTGAATGGATCCCATAACGTCGCCACCAAATGCGATTCTTATACAAATTACCTTAGTGGTGCTTGTGATGATAACGATAAGTCTATTGTAGGAGGATTCCACGTTGATAGAAAGTAAGTACTTTATACTCTATCAATTTAAATGTTCATCTTTGTGAAAATAGCTCATTGGTAATTTGAATTGCATTATTCATATCAAGAAGTACAAAAATAAGAAATATTAGCATTTATTGTTTTCTTTCAGCGCAAGTGGAAATTACTACTTCAAAGGCGATGGATACAAAGATTATTAAAACTGTAACGGGTACTTTATAAAACTGAAGAAGTAAATTTGTTTTTTGAATCTTAATCAATAAATGATTTAATTTTTATTACCTACTATTAGAAAAGCCGAAAATGGACATTGGGCTAAAAATATTAAAAATATGCATGTTAAACTAGCGATAATTTTGAAAATTGTATACACTCCTGAATCATGCGTCACTAAAATGATAAATTTTGAAAATATATTTTTAGAAAATGCTTCAATGTAAATGAAGCGATATTACTAATAAAAAACAAATCATTAAAAATTTGAATCGAGTAAAATACATATTATATTAGTAATGCTTGTATTGGTTTGCATATTTTTTGATAGTAAAGCTTGATTTACTATTCCGCAGACAATAAATAGTAATATTCGTAATGTAAACTGACAAGTCAATTTAATATACCTACGCTGACGTGCAAAGTAAACGCTCTACTCTGTCTACTCTGTGTTCTTAAAATAATTGTTAACTTCATTTTAATTTTTGGAAATTCCTAAAAAAAGGCAGTTCCTTAAATATGTTCCTTGGAATAAAGTTGCTGTTGATCAGCCTTTATGTAACAAGAATTAATGCAGGTAAGTTAGCATTAAATTCAACAAAATTTTTGATTTTATGCGAGTACATTAATAAATGAACTTTGTCTTTGTTTTGTCTCCTCTACCAAAATTGAAACCATCCTACTCCTAAATACTACAGTTTTACAAAGTCTAAAACACGTCAGTTAATACAATTATAATATTTTTTAGGGTTACTAAACTTGCTACTACCTATCGACGATAAACATATAAAATTTCATATTTACACACAAAGCGACAGAAAGGACACAAGAATTTTTGGAACAAACATTTCCAATCCCCATGAAGTAATCAACTCCGGTTTCGATAGCACCAAAGAAACTTACTTTTGTGTGCACGCTTGGACCGAAGCCGCTGATAAATCGCTAATAAACACGTGCAAAATATTCAAAGATCGGGTTCTGGACAAACACGACGTGAATGTAATTTACATCGATTGGAGCATTTACACTACCAACATCTTCTACTCCTACCTAGCATTAAATATGCAGAAATTCGCCAATGTAATGAGCGGGCAGATTAAAAACATGGTGGAGACAAGTGGATTGGATTTGAATAGAAGTCAAATGGTCGGTACTTCATTGGGAGCTGAGTTAGCTGGAGCCATCGGTACTGCGCTAGATGGGAAACTGTACCAAGTTATTGGTAAGTCTTTTATTGATTATCCTACATTCATTATGCACGCATTCAGTGCATTATTTCCTTTATACAGGGTACACCAAAAAGAGCAATGATTCTAAATTTAATAGTCAATTCTTTTGATTTGAAGGTCTGGATCCTGGAGCTCCGATGTTCTATCACTCCTATACTCAAAACCGCATATCGAAGAAATCGGGGCAATTCGTCCAAGTAATTCACACGGCTACTGCTTTTATGAATCTCGGTTATCGCGCTCAAATGGGCCATGCTGATTACTGGGCTAATGACGGTGAACATCAACCTTTATGTTTGTTAACTGATTTCCTTGGAATATGTTCTCATATCATGGCTCCAGTAATTTATATAATTTCGCTTATGATTGAATCCCATAATGTTGCCACCAAATGCGATTCTTATATAAATTTCCTGAGTGGTGCTTGTAAGGATAACGAAAAGTCTGTGGTAGGAGGATTTCACGTGGATAGAAAGTAAGTATTTTGAAGAGAATGAGCTAATGAAGTTTTTGGCACGACTATTATTAGGATGATTTTTGGAGTTTTCAAATCGGGGGACACGGAAATGAAAATTATTAACAAACATTGTTTTCTTTCAGCGCAAGTGGAATTTATTACTTCCAAGGCATTTGAAGATAAATAAAAAAGCAACTTATACTTCATAAGATTGAAAAATAAAATAATTTCTTTGGTCATCTTTGTTTTTTGAAACTTGATCGATTTTTCAATTAATTATAATTTCTCTTACAATTACAATTAGTAATTGGACAAAACATATTCAAAATAAGCCTCATTATAAATTATGGAAAATTTTCTTAGATTGAGTTGATTAATATTCATGCTTATGTGACTTGCCTAAAAATAATTGACAGTATTTGGATTGGTAATGCTCTATTTACTATTCCACAAGACAAATAAATATAATATTAGCATTGTAAATTTAAATTGACAAGGAAATTTTATTAGCACATACGTCTATGTTCTTAACACAATTGTGTCATTTAAATTTGTGCAGATTACTAAAAAAATAGCCAGTCCGTTAAACATGTTCATACAGATAAAGTTGCTGTTGATCAGCCTCTGCGCAATTAGACTTGATGCAGGTAAATTAACGTATAATTCATAATAAAAACATTCTCCTAATTAAATGTGTATTAATGAAACTAAGCACCATAACCCTTCTATCTTCACAAAGCTTTAAAAGCTTTAATAATGCTAGTTGGTTATCTCGTATAATTTTCTAGGGATACTAAACACTCTACTACCTGTTAACGATGACCATATAAAATTTCGAATCTACACAAGAGCCGACACCACAACAACGACTTCAACAAACATCTCCGATCCCCAGGAAGTGCTGAAAGCTGGTTTCGATAGATCCAAGGATAGTTACATTTGCGTGCACGCTTGGACCGAATCCGACGACCCTTCCAAATCCAATTCTTGCAAAGATTTTAAAGACCTCGTTCTGCAGTTGCACGATGTGAATTACATTTACATAGATTGGAGCTTTTACACTACGCAAATGTTCCTCTCTTATCTGGTACTAAATATGGACAAATTCGCTAACATTATGAGCGGACACATTCATAATATGGTGGAGACGAGTGGATTGGATTTGAATAGAACTCAAATTATCGGGCAGTCATTGGGAGCTCAGTTAGCCGGAGCCATTGGTACCGCGCTAGATGGGAAACTATACCAAGTTATTGGTAAATCTCTTATTTTTAAAGCCCCATTACTCCTTACCATCTTGGATTTGATAGTAAAAATATTTTGATTGCCAGGTCTGGATCCTGGAGCTCCGATGTTTTACCACTCCATTTCCCAAACACGCGTATCGAAAAAATCAGGGCAATTCGTCCAAGTAATTCACACGGCCAGTGGTATTTTCAGTCTCGGTTATCACGGTGACATGGGCCATGCTGATTACTGGGCTAACGGCGGTGAACACCAACCTTGGTGTGTATTGTTCGATGTCCTTAATATATGCTCTCATATTCTTTGTCCATACTTGTATTTAAATACGCTGAAGGATGGAGCTCATAACGTTGCGACCAAATGCGATTCGTATGCAAATTACCTCAGTGGTGCTTGTAACGATAACGATAAGTCTGTGGTAGGAGGATTTTACGTTGATAGAAAGTGAGTATTTTCTACAGAATTATAAATTGCCTGTTAATGAAGCTATAATATTTTAAATCGAGAGGTAGGTAAATGAGAAACATTAACAGCTGTTGTTTTCTTTTAGCGCAAGTGGAAGATATTACTTCAATGGCGATGGATACAGAAATTTTTAAAACAGTAACATGTACTTTATAAAATTGAATAATAAATCAGTAAATCATTTCTTCTATCTTTTTTCTATCTCTTCTCCTCTATCTCTAATATATTTTTTCTAATGAAAACAATTATTAAAATTGAAGAAAAAGGTATATTTTCGAATTGCGTAATAATGAATTGCAAAAAATTTTGATAGTCATGCTTGTTTTACGTCCCAAAAAGTAATTAATAATAATTTTTGGAAATTATATACAGATCTGAATTATGCATAGTGTACCGGTAGTATATTACTAAATTTATGAAAGTACAATTTTCGAAATTTTCTAGTTATAGTTGGTAGATATTAATAGTCAAACACAGTTCCTCAAAAATGTCGGTTGGTAAAGTATTACTAATCAGCCTTTGTGCATTTACAATTAATGCAGGTAATTTAATACGGATATTTATCATTAAAAATTAATGAATATTTTACTTTGAAGACGTAGAAACCTCTATATTTATCCTAATTCTTTTCCAATAAAATTAATTACCTCAAATGCGATCAATTTTCGATCAAACCATTTAAGCACGATCATTATTTTATAGAATTACTGGACTTACTTCTGCCTGTTAACGAAAACTTCATACAATTTTTTATCAACACTTGGGACAACCCTACAATGCTCACCCCAACAGACATCACCAATCCCACTGAAGTACAAAAAGCCGGCTTCAATAATACGAAGGAAACGTATATCTGCGTGCACGCTTTCATCGAATCCGCCACTCTGCCCATAAACACTTGTAAAATGTTCAAAGAAAAATTTTTCGACAGGTACGATGTGAATTTTATTTACGTCAACTGGGGCTTCTACTCTTCGACGCCCTTCATGTATTACTTGATACTTCATGTAGACGATTTCGCGAATATAATTGTCGGGAAAATCAACAAAATGGTGGAGACCAGTGGACTGGATTTGAACAACACCCAAATGGTTGGCACTTCTTTGGGGGCTGATTTAGTAGGTGCTATAGGTACTAAGCTAGATGGAAAATTATACCAAGTTGTTGGTAAGGCTTATGGTGATCTACATCCTAAGGAAGGTTTCTATAGAGAATATACTTCTAGGTGTCGATCCTCCAGGTGTGGATGGCCTTCTTTTTCGTAACAGTTTCATGACGGAAGGCTCAGGACAATTCGTCCAGGTAATTCATGCTAGTTACCTAAGTGGGAAGGGAGGTCCTACCGGTCATGCTCAATATTACGCTAATGGCGGAGAAAAACAGCCTTGGTGCGTGTATTTCGACCCGCTATGTTCTCATGCCAGTGGCCAGATTTTCTACATCAATTCTTTGGAGAAAGGAATCCAAATTGATGCCACAAAATGCGACTCGTACGATAATTTCACTAACGGATCTTGTGCGAATAACGATAAGTCATTTATGGGAGGGTTTCACGTTGATAGGAAGTAAGTAATTTGCTGATATATAATTATTGGTAGTATTTTTTATTATTACGTTTTATTAGTACGTTTCCAAAAGCAATTTTCTTTCAAATATTTATATGTTTTTTTTCAGTGCAAGTGGAAAATACTTCTTCACAAGTGACCTAGGAATGACAATTCTATAATAATCCAAATACAATAAAATTCAGCATTGCCCTTCAGTTCACTTCAGTTTCTATAAATATCAATAAGTTGAGTTTATTATTATTAAGTTTATTCAAAATTGTTATCCACAAAAAAAATTAAATTCTTTGTTTTAAAATTATAGCTTCGGTAATTTACCCAACCAAAAAAATATATCAACAATATCTTAACTACCATATTATCAGTGTTGAATGTATAAATATACCAATTAATAATAATAAATTGTTCGATATTTACAACAGACTTCGACTACTTTTGTATTTTTTTTAATTCATTTAGAACCTTGTACCATTCGAGTTATTGAAACTAAACCATTCGTAAATATGTTTACAGCAACTAGTATAACCTTACTATTAACTTTCCTTTGTATTAACGCAGGTAAGGCCTAACCTATCGCCAATCCACTTCAATCGAACTTACAAATATTTCCACAGGAATATTTAATTTGATGTATCCTATAAGCGAAAGATTCATAAAGTACCGCATCTATACTCAAAGCACAAAAGGAACCCACGTCACAACAAACATCTCGGACCCCGTCGAAGTCGCCAAATCTGGCTTCAATAACACCAAAGAAACTTACTTCTGCGTAAACGCTTACACGGAAAAAAGCTTCGATCGCAAGAACACGTGCCAAAGGTTCAAAAGAAAAATTCTGTCCCTCTACGATATCAATTACATCTACATAGATTGGAGCGAGTACACGCAACATCTCGATCTGTACGGGTACTTATCGATGTACATGCCGGAAATCGCGAAACTCATCAGCAAACCTATCAATGACATGGTCAAAAGGAGCGGACTAAACTTGACCAATAGCCAAATCGTCGGAGCCTCGTTGGGCGCTCAGTTAGCCGGAGCAATTGGTACAGAGCTCAATGGAAGAATTGGCCAACTTATTGGTGAGTAATCACTTATCTTTTGGCTTCAAGCGTATACTATCTTTTGACTTCAAGCTTCATTTGCTTGCTAAAACTGTTTGCGTGTTTGCAGGAATAGATGGAGCTGCTCCGGGTTTCTATCACTCGCGTCCCAAAGCTCGCATCTCGAAGAAATCGGCGCAATTCGTGGAAGTGATCCATACCGGTGGATTCTTCGCAGCTTCGGGATATTTGAATCCACTTGGTCATGCTGACTATTATCCAAACGGGGGTATGAAACAGCCTACCTGTCCCTTAGAACAAGATTTAGTCGGTAATTGTTCTCATATATTGGCCGTTAATATGTATCTGGATTCGTTGAATGTTGGTACCAAAAGGTACGCTACCAAGTGCGGTACGATGGATGATTTCGAGGCGGGTTTGTGTAAATTTAATGAAGTGTCCTGGATTGGTGGGTTCCACGCTGATACAAAGTAAGGATTTTTTGTTTTATTTGTCTTGTCGATGATTAATTAAAAGGTTTCTTTTTTAGTGCAAGTGGAAGATACTATTCTTACGATGATGGAAAGTTCAATGTAGATGTTTAAAATTAAGCATTCTGTAATAAATTAATAAATGTTGTTTTATTTTATCTTACTTTAAGTTTTTTCTTGTTATCACTCTATAAATATTTTAGCGACTGCTAATTCAACGATATTTCAAAATGAACTGAAAAATGTGATAATTCCAAAATTAAATCAATCAAGTGGTATTTGCTTGTATATAGGCGCGTATCTTAATTATTCTGAAGAAATTTTTAAAAAGCTTCAAATATATTCTGAAATATTTATATTTTACAATAATAGAATTCGTTATTCAAATGGTGTCCTATCTTCACGCATCTACTTGAATATAGCATTGATAAAAATGTTTATAAAACGAGAAACCTTAGAAAAAAATAGGTTAGAAAATTACATTTGCGTCAATGCCAAACATTTGGTCTATCCATAGACCTATTAACTATGGACGCGGTTTAGACAAAGAGGTAGTGTTGTCGATGAATGAGAGAGATGCAGCTAGTTTGGGCATATGGCAATGAGAGATTGGACAATGCATTAGCCAATAGTAAGAAAGCAAAAGACCACGTGAGTTACGTTTTCAGAAATGCAAGGTAGCTGGGGTAGAGGAGGGGAGATTATGGTAGAATAGGGTTGAGGATTTATTATTTTTTTACTGAGCAAAATGCATTTTTCAGCTGAGCCTAAATTCCCACGCATTTGCAAATACAGTTCTTATTTTGTATTGTTATTTGGAACCTCCTACCTATTAGCCAGTACAGATTTAGCAATTTAAGACCTAAGTGCTTTCTCTTGTAAAAAATATGTTTCTTCCAGGTCATTCTTCTGTCCAAGTGGATACCAAGATAAAAATAATATTTAAATATTAAGCGTATAAATAATTTAACAGATTAATCGCCTTTTTCCACACACCCTGTATATATTTTATATTTTTTTTGGTCCCGCCTACTTTTAGCCCAAACTAGCTCCATCTCTCACGGGCCTCTCTCTCTATCATTGGGAACGCTGAATAACCTCAAAATACCGATTGTGCCGCGTCCATACTTAATAGGTCTATGGGTCTATCTAATTAATTTTCAAATCAGTGAATTAGTCAGCAATTACCAATGTGTAACGACATACACATAATTATACATTCATTGCTTATCAACATATTTATTAACAAATGCCCGAAAATCCAAAAACAGACTAAATTTTTATTGTTCAAAAATGAAACCTCGGGAAACATTGTTATTACTAATACTCGTTTTAAAGACAGTTTGCTCAAGTAAGAAATGTTTTTATTATAGAACCAGTTTATCCATTTCACGCTAGTTGTAGGTGTAACATCCAAGAATGTTTAAAAAATCTTCAAACTCCAAAAGTTGTTGGTATAAATTGTGTTTATATACAAATGTTAGTATTAATAGTTTTAATAACTCTCTCGTAGGCAAACTCCTCAACTACATATTTCCCCTGACCGAAACATCGATAAATTTCTACTTCTACAACCAAAGCGACACCACGAATCACGAAAAAGTCGACATCTCCAATCCCCAGGAGGTCGCGAATGCCGGATTCGACAGGAATAAAGACACGTATTTCTGCGTGCACGGCTACAGCGATACGCCGGAGCACAGGGACAGCGCCTGCCATCAAATCAAAAGGGTCCTGTTGCCCCGTTACGACGTTAATTACATCTTCATCGATTGGAGCAGCTTCTCCACCAATCTTTTATACAACTTCGTCCACTTGCAGGTGCCGAAAATCGCCAAGGTCGTCGCCAAGAAGATCTTCGACATGATCGACAGCAGCGGGTTGGACATGAGCCGAAGCCAAATAGTTGGAGTGTCGATGGGCGCCCAACTGGCTGGTGCTATTGGTACAGCAGCTGATGGACTCTTCCAGCAAGCCGTTGGTAACATATTAAACCGACTGTTTTGGAAATGTTTTTCAAGAATAACTCGTAGGTGTTGATCCTGGAGGACCGCTGTTTCTTCACGGGTATATCAAAAACCGTATGTCGAAGAAATCGGCAAAGTTTGTACATGTGATACACACTGGTGGTCAGTTCATGGGCATGGGGTTTTTCAATTCGCTTGGACACGCCGATTATTACGGTAACGGGGGGCAGAGACAACCGAACTGCGGGTTGGATTTGGATGGGTTCTGCGGTCATTTAAGAGCCACGGAATTGTACAAGAATAGCTTAAGATACGGGTCGCAATTTAACGCTACCAGGTGCAATTCGGCGAGAAATTACGAGCTCGGATTTTGTTCGTTCAATGAAAAATCGCCTGTTGGAGGATACTGGGTTGACAGAACGTAAGTGACTTTTACAAAGATGATTCTGGCTTCAATTAATAAACATTCCAAAAGAAACTATAGGAGCAAACCTTGGAATAAATGATAATAGGTTCTTTTGCAATGTATTGGTGTTATAACAGTAATATTAACTAATTTTCAGCGCCAGTGGAAAATATTTCTTTGATGACCATATCACTCACGATTATTACCCTCCAATGGAATACATAAACAAATTTCTGGGACTAAATTTGCACTGAATATTAGTACCGATTTATAACCGTTGATACCTAAAATAGACATTGGGGAAACTTCGAGTAATTAAAAACCGAAAATTATTATTTACTCAATACTTACATGTAGATATTTAATTAATTATTCATAATGGTGATTTAAATAAAAACCTACATATAAACCTAATGTTATCGTAATTTGTGCAAACCACGACATTATTTGGAATTATTATTTGCCTTGAGCATATCAATTTTCTCGATGCTTTGTAAAAAAATACCTAACCGTCTGACATTAGGCAATGAAAAATGATTGCGGGTACTAAATTACTGCTGTTTTGGACAAGCTGTTTAACTACAGTTTATTCAGGTAAACAATTTTAATTACTACCCGCATTGGTAACAACTTCAACTTATTTCGTAGGCATTATATTAGACAACATATTCCCCGTCAACGAATCCAAGATAAAGTTCTACGTGTACACTCGAAACGACACCGCCAACTCCGTCGATCCCATCGACATCTCCAATCCCGATGAAGTATCCCAAACCTACTTCAACAGCACCAAGCCAACGGTTTTCTGCGCTAACTCAGTCTTCGAAAAACCATTCGACGTAACCAACAGCTGCCAGCGCATCAAGAACGCCATCCTGAAAGCGCACGACGCCAATTTCATATTCATCGACTGGAGCAGCATCAGCAATCGCAATTTGTACTTCCATTTGCTCGGCGACATTGAAAAGGCCGCCGACATTATCAAAAATAAAATATTGGATATGATCGATTACAGCGAGCTGGATATGGAAAACAGCCAAATCGTCGGCGCGTCAGTCGGAGCTCAGATGATAGGTGCTATTGGTACCGCGGTCGGAGGGAATTTTCAGCAAGTTGTTGGTAATTTGAAGCAGCAAACTAGACCAGAACAAACCAAAGGCCACCAAAGACTAAATTAGATTAGACCTCATTTGACCAGACCTGAATAGACTTCACCAGACTTGAACAGACTCTACCATACTTTACCAGACTCTTCAGACTTCACCAGACTTCATCAGACTTTACCAGCCTTCGCCATTGTACACTGTTCTCCTGATAGGAATCACCAATCGTTATTTTTTGTTTGCAGCCCTCGATCCGGCGTCGATTTACTTCTACAGCTTTTGGAAGAACATAAACAGCATATCGACGAAATCGGGGAAGCACGTGCAGGTGATTCACTCGTCGGCTTACCATCGGTACCCGCTGGGTCACGCCGATTACTACATGAACGGCGGATTGGCACAGCCGTACTGCGGAATGGATTTATTCCGGTTATGTTCGCATGCGAGGAGCATCTCGTTGTATATGCACACCATCGTGAACGGAGCGCGAATCGAAGCGTCGAAATGCGACTCGCTGGAGGATTTTTACGCGACTAAATGTAAATTTAATGAAAAGTCCTATGTGGGAGGATTTCTGATCGATAGAAAGTTAGTAGTACCATTTTTATGTCACAAAATTTCAGTTTGTATTGATGTTGTCAGGAAGAAGTTATTTGATTATTGGTGAGGTAATAATTTATGTTTCAGCGCTACTGGAAAGTACTATTTCGTTGAATATTCCAAATTTAAGGATTGACGTTATGGATTTTTGTTTTTTATAATAATGCAAAATAAATCGAGTGTATATCACTGTATGGTAATTTGTTTTTTTCCCTCCTTAACTTTTAATAAGAAATAAAAAAATTTAGCTCTAATAATAGATATGGTGTAGTTATTGAACACAAAGTAACGCACTTTGTTAAAATATACAGCTAATTAGTGTAATCTCCGCATAAATAAGTGTCTCACATATTAAGTATTATTCCAAACGTTCTAATTTTCGTCATCGTTTCCACATAATTCCTTACCAAACATGGTTGTTAAAATACTGTTGTTATTGTTATTGTCTTTACAATGTTTGGAAAATGTCGGCTCAGGTAAAAATATTTATCAATCGACGCTCCATTTAATCCTAGTAAAAATTTTTCGCGTATCGTAGACACGGTTCTCGACGTGCTGTTCCCAATCGACGACACCAAGATAAAATACTACATCTACACGCAGAACACCACAGACGACCACTACGAGGTGAACGTGGTGGATCCCAAGGACATGCTCAGGGCCGGCTTCTCCAAGGACAAGCACACCATGTTCTGCCTGTTCGCCTACAACGAGCTACCGCTGGAGATGAGCAACACCTGCCAACGAATCAAGCGAGCCGTATTGAAGTCGCACGACATCAACTACGTGTTCATCGATTGGAGCCTCCTCAGCACCGACGATCTCTTCCAAATGCTCAGGCTCATCGAAATTCTGGGCGTGAAAATCCGCGATAAAATCCTGGATATGATCGACGGCAGCGGGTTGGACATGAACAACTGCCAGATCATCGGAGCTTCTTTGGGAGCTCAAGTAGTCGGAATAATCGGTTTGGCCACCGGGGGATTGTTTCGGCAAGTTATCGGTAGGTTTTCTCACTTGCTTGTTGACACCGTTAACTTCTTAACGTTTGCCAGGATTGGATCCGACTGCGTACATTTTCTTCCCTTTCTACGACAAGAATCGCATATCGAAGAAATCCGGGCAATTCGTGCAGGTCATTCATACAGGTCCGGGGTATTTTTTGCCCATGGGTCATGCGGATTATTACATGAACGGCGGGGAATTGCAACCTCACTGTCCTACTACAGATTGGTACTGCTCGCATATGGTGGCTGTTTTATTTTATTTGAGCACTATTATTAACGATAACAAACCCGTCGCGTACAAATGCGAAAATGCGGACCGCTTCTATTCAGGTCAATGTAAAAATAATCCTACATCTTATCCTGGTGGATTTTTAGTGGATAGAAAGTAAGTACTAATTCAAAATTACCGTAATTTGGTTTTCATAGTTGGTTTTTATTTTTAGTGCTAGCGGAAAGTACTACTTCACAGATTATACGTATTATTAGAGAAAAAAAACTACTGCAGAATCGATTGAAAAAAGTGGTGAATAAACTAATAAAAATTTTACAATGTTGTACAGTTGGTAATTTGTTTAGTCTGGTGTTATTTGTTAAGTAGCCAAATTTTAATAATTATGTAGAAGATATAAACATTTTAGTAAATAAATATTAATTAGAATACATATCAAGTAATTGTCACCGAAAATCGCGATATAACCTTCATTAAAATAGGAATGCTAATTTTTTCACTCAACCTCCTTTATATTTTAGTTTCAATTACACAACGTACAGAAGGTAACACAATGGAGAAAATATCATGGTTACTATGGAGCCTATTCTTAACAGTAGCTAAAGCAGGTAAGAAACTTTAACATTCTACTCAAGCAATATTTTAATCCAATTCCTAACGATCAGAATTTCTGGACGATTTATTCGCCGTATCCAAGTCCGATGTAAAAATTTACTTCAGCAACCGGAACAACAGCAACAACTTCATTGAGGTCGATCTCTCCGATCCCCAGCAAGTGGCTACAGCCGGTTTTTCTAAGGCTATAGACTCTTATATCTGCGTGAGGGCCTACAACGAGGAGACACTGTACAAAAACAACTCCTGCAATCAAATCAAGAAGGCCCTACTGGAACTGCACGATGTGAATTTCTTCTACGTCGATTGGAGCAAAGTGAGCGATACCATCAACTACATCGGCGTGCTCATGAAGATACCTAAAGTGGCGAAACTGGTGGCTCACAAGATTTTAGATTTGATCAACAAGAGCGGATTGGATCCGAACAGGACTCAGCTGATAGGAGCATCATTGGGAGCCCAAATGGCGGGCGCAATCGGCACGGAACTCGAAGGAATCCTCTACCAAGTCGTCGGTAAATTTCCCTGAATACTCCCGGAGTTTTCGTTTAATAATTCTCATTGTTTTTCAGGACTGGATCCATCATCGCCGTTCCTATCTCGCTTTTACAGCGGCAATCGCATGTCGAAGAATTCCGGGCAATTCGTGCAAGCTATTCACACCGGTGGATTCTTTTTCGGGTTTTTCGATCCCCTAGGACACGCTGATTATTACGCTAACGGGGGAAGGTTGCAGCCGAGTTGTAAATTTGATTTAATCGGATTTTGCTCTCACACTATGGTGGGGCAGTTGTATATCAAAACATTGCAGGACGAGAAATTATTTTTGGCGAACAAGTGCGATTCGGAGTTACAGTATAATTTGGGTGCTTGTCAGAACAACGAGAAGTCTTATGTAGGAGGATACCTCGTTGATAGGAAGTAGGTATTTCGAATAGAATTTCTAATTTTGTTAAAAATCTTTAATAATAAGATAATTATTAATTAACTAACTATTATTATTTATCTCTTTTCAGCGCAAGTGGAAAGTATTATTTCAAAGATACTACCAATTACGTATATAATTAATACGGTTTTGATATTGTTTTATTGTTAAAAAATACGAATATCTAGTAATAAACTTGGCTAATGTGTATTATTTTATTTATTTATTCAATCATATTTAAATTATTAGTTTGCAGGTGATTTTCCTACGATGTTTATGTATTTAATTTAATTATAAGCTTTATCATTTTGTTCGAGATAATAAAAATCGTTATAAATGTTGCTCAAACAAATATTTTTATTAGTTCTGAAATGGTTTCCATTAAATTATTACTATTATGGGGGGTCATTTTAAAAATGGCCGGTGCAGGTAAAAGTATTTATTTCTTTTATAAAAAATGTAGTAATAATGTAGTAGTTTTTATAAATATAAATTTTTTAGGAGACATTATAGATATACTTTTTCCTGTTACGGCTTATACTCCAATGATCTGGGATATACATATTCTAAAATACTTCTGAAATTTAAACTAAATCCATTGCAGTACTAAATTCAAAACTATCCTAATTTGGATTTGGAAAACTACTGAAGAATCGGTTGAAAAAAATAGTAAACAAACTAATAAAAAAATCTACAATATTATACAATGGTGATTAACTCAGTCTTTATCTAGTTAATATTAAGTGTTTTAAGTTTTTTAAGTAGCTATATTTTGATAATTATGTAAGCGATAAAAAAAATTAAGCAAATAAATTATAATTAGAATATATTTCAAGTAATTGTCACGGAAAATCGATGTAAACCCGTCATTAAAATAGGAAATTTTATATTTTTCGGCCTATCACCTTAACATTTTAGTTTCAATAACCTCACCGTACAGGAAATACCACTATGGAGAAAATATCATGGTTACTATGGAGCCTATTCTTAACTATAGCTAAATCAGGTAACACATTTAAACATTCTACACCAGCCAAATTTTAGTCTACAATAATTCCTAACGCGCAGAATTTCTGGACGATTTATTCGCCGTATCGAAGTCCGATGTAAAAATTTACTTCAGCAACCGGAACAACAGCAACATCTTCATAGAGGTCGACCTCTCCAATCCCCAGCAAGTGGCTACCGCCGGTTTTTCTAAGGCTATAGACTCTTATATCTGCGTGAGGGCCTACAACGAGAAGGGGCCAAGCACCACCTGCGATCGAATCAAGAAGGCCCTACTGGAACTGCACGATGTGAATTTCTTCTACGTCGATTGGAGCAAAGTGAGCGACACCATCAACTTCCTGAAAATCCTCATGAAGATGCCGAATGTGGCGAAACTGGTGGCTCGTAAAATTATAGATTTGATCAACAAGAGCGGATTGGATCCGAACACGACTCAGATGATAGGAGTATCGTTGGGGGGCCAACTTGCCGGTGCAATCGGTACGGAACTGGAAGGAATCCTCTACCAAGTAATCGGTAAATTTCTCTAAACACTCCCGGAATTTTCGTATATTTATTTTCGTTATTTTCCAGGACTGGATCCTTCTTGGCCGTTCCTCTCTCCCTTTTACAGCGGCAATCGCATGTCGAAGAATTCCGGGCAATTCGTACAAGCCATTCACACAGGTGGGATATTTTTAGGGTATTTCGATCCCCTGGGACACGCCGATTATTACGCTAACGGGGGAAGGTTACAACCGAGTTGTAAATTTGATTTAATCGGATATTGTTCTCACACTATGGTGGAGCAGTTGTATATCAAAACTTTGCAAGACGAAAAGTTATTTTTGGCGACCAAGTGCGATTCGGAGTTACAGTATAATTTGGGTGCTTGTCAGAGCAACGAGAAGTCTTATGTAGGAGGATACCTCGTTGATAGGAAGTAGGTATTTCGAATAGAATTTTTAATTTTGTTGAAAATCTTTAATAATAAGATAATTATTAATTAACTAACTATTAATATTTATCTCTTTTCAGCGCAAGTGGAAAGTATTATTTCAAAGATAGTACCAATTACGTATATAATTAATACGGTTTTGATATTGTTTTATTGTTAAAAAATACGAATATCTAGTAATAAACTTGACTAATGTGTATTATTTTATTTATTTATTCAATCATATTTAAATTATTAGTTTACAGGTGATTTTCCTACGATGTTTATGTATTTAATTTAATTGTAAGCCTTATCAATTTGTTCTAGATAATAAAAATCGTTATAAATGTAGATCTAACAAATATTTTGATTAGTTCAGAAATGGCTTCTATTAAATTATTACTATTATGGGGGGTCATTTTAAAAATGGCCGGTGCAGGTAAAAGTTTTTATTGCGTTTAAAAAAATGTAGTAATAATGTAGTAATTTTTATAAATAATATAATTTTTTTAGGAGACATTATAGATACACTTTTTCCTGTTACTGAATCGGACGTAAAATTTTTCTTCTCCAATCAAAACACTGAAAACATATTAGTGAACATTTCGGATCCTCAGGATGTAGCGAAAACCGGTTTTTCCAAAGAAAAGGACTCCTTTTTTTGCGCCAACGCTCTCCTCGAAAGTCCTCTTATTTCAGACTACTGCAAAGACATTAGAATACCGCTGTTGCTAAATTACGACGTGAATTACTTCCACATCGACTGGAGACCCGTATCTAACAACTTCTTCACGGCATTTTCCAAAGTACCAGAAGTCAGCGAAATAGTCAGCAGGAGCATATCCAACATGGTCGAAACCAGCGGATTAAATCTAACCAAAAGTCAAATCGTCGGAGGCTCCCTGGCCGCACAATTGGCCGGAAAAACCGGACAAAACCTTGCCGGGAAATTTTACCAAGTCATCGGTACTGCACAGTCCAGTTTACAATGTTTTGTACCATCAAGCGTGTTTCAGGTCTCGATCCCGCCCTTCCTGGTTTCGAAAATACCGACTACATTTCAAAGGATTCGGGACAATTCGTCCAAATTATTCACACGGGTGGCGGTAGTAACAGAATTGGCCAAATAAAACCGCTCGGACACGCCGATTACTACGCGAATGGGGGAAAGAAACAGCCCGGATGCGATTTGGAATTAACCGGACTTTGCTCGCATATACGGGTCATTCCGCTTTACATAAAAACCTTATTAAACAGTACCCAATTCCTGGCGACTAGTTGCGATTCAGAGGAAAATTACAATAATGGAACCTGCAGAAATAACAACATGTCTTATGTTGGAGGGTATATGGTCGATAGAAAGTAAGTAACATCGGGTAAATAAAGTATTCAGGAAGACGTTATTGGTAAATAAATGTATAAAGTTACTACATGAAACTACATAAGTCTTCTAAATGTTGTTGAAATGTAATTTTAATTGAATTATTTTCAGTGCAAATGGAACGTACTATTTCAAAGATGAAACGGCTTATAGTCCAGTGATCTGGAATATATTCTAATATATTTTATATGTACAACTTTTTAAATGTTCCTTTTATAAATTAATTAGTAATCCATCAGTATTTGCATTAATATTAACAATAAAGTATTAAAAATTTTCTTGTAAAACTTAAATTTTCCTTTTTAAATGTACTTTTCTTTAACACTACTATTTTCCGTAAAATTAAGTTACTCTATAATTTGGTTTTCTGTCCAGAGTAACGAGAAATCATATGCAAAATTTCAATATTAATATACCCAAAAAAAGATACCCACTCAATCCTAATTTTGTTGACATTCTTTTATAATTTAATATACTGTTAATTAACCGATACTGTTAATTAACAAAATTAAAATTAAAACTGTTAGGTACTACTAGCACAAAAAAAATTAATAATTATGTATTTTGTCAGTGCAAGTGGAACGTATTATTTTAAAGACAATACGAAGTACGACTAATATTTCCCGTTATAATTTGTCTTATCAAGACGACACTTCTAACGTTTATGATGTTATTGTTAAAAAATACGAATATTTAGTTTAGTAACTGAACTAATGTGCATTATTTTGTTCATTACATTTATAATTAGTATTATTGTTGATAAGAATTTGTAAGTAACAGAATTAATGGAAACGACCTTAATTCTAATTATCTTCTTATTATTATTCAAAACAGATAGAATTTAGGCCTGTGTAATAGTTTACAGGTGATTATTTCATTCAATTTTAAGCTTTATCAATTTTTTCGAGATAATATAAATTATTATAAATATAGTTTTAGACAATATTCTTGTTAGTTCCGAAATGGCTTCTATTACAGTATTATTACTATGGGGAATTGTTTTAAAGATTGTCCGGGCAGGTAAAAATATTCAAGTTATTTCAAAATATACTTAAGATAATGTATGACAATAAAATTTTAGATATATTTTTTCCTGCCATTGAATCGGAAATAAATTTTTTCTTCTCCAATCAAAATAGTGAAAAAATATTGGTGAACATTTCGGATCCGCAGGATGTAGCGAAAACCGGCTTTTCCAAAGAAAAGGACTCGTTTTTCTGCGCCAACGCCTTCATGGAGTTCCCGCATTTGATAGACTCTTGTGAAGACATTAGAAAACCGCTGTTGCTTAAATACGACGTGAATTACTTCCACATCGACTGGAGATCCGTATCCAACAACATTTTCACAGCACTTTCCAAACTACCAAGAGTCAGCGAAGTACTCAGCAGGAGAATATCCAACATGATCGAAACCAGCGGATTAGATCTCAGCAGAAGTCAAATCGTCGGAGCATCCCTAGGCGCCCAATTGATCGGGAAATTAGGAAGAAACCTCGACGGGAAATTCTACCAAGTCATCGGTACTATCATCATCCAGTTTACAATATTTTGTACCTTCAATAATAAGTGTTTCAGGTCTCGATCCCGCGGGTGTTGGATTTAAAAATAACCATTACTTATCCAAGGATTCTGGTCAATTTGTGCAAATTATCCACACGGGCGGCGGTAGAAACAGATTGGGTAAACTGAAACCCCTTGGGCATGCCGATTACTATGCGAATGGTGGAAGGAAACAACCCGGATGCGTTTTCGAATTATTGGGACATTGCTCGCACGTTCGGGTAGTCCCACTTTATATAAAAACATTGTTAAATAGTGCCAAATTCCTAGCCACTAGTTGCGATTCAGAGGAAAATTACAATGATGGAACTTGTAGAAATAATGGCAAGTCTAATGTTGGAGGATATATAATCGATAGAAAGTAAGTAGCATTGGGTAAAATAAATACTACTAAATTAGTGTGAAGTTACAAGTTACTATATGAAACTAAGATTCTTCTAAATGTTGTTGGATGTAATTTTAATAGAATTTTTTTCAGTGCATATGGAACGTACTTTTTTAAAGATGAAACGGCTTATCTTCCAGTATTCTATTGAATTTTTGTACCTAGTATTTAAGAAATATAAACACAAAAATCATCACATATTTTAATTTTTGCCTCTACCTCTACAACATTTTGAATATTCCTTTGGTTTGCTTATCGGTTTTTCTTTATAATAATCAGGCAGAAAACCCTTTTATAAAATAATAAATATTTCATTAGTCTTATCATAAATATTAATAATAAAAGAATTAAAAATGTTCTGTGTAATCTGGATTTAAAATGGAAATTTGTTGAAAACTGTTTAATTGCACTTTGCTGGCAACTACAGAATTTATCAGACCATTAAAAAAACAGCGCTTGAAATGAAGATTCTCATAGTGTTACTATTATCATCAACGTATTCTGCAATAACTCTCGTAAACGCAGGTAAAACACATTATATTAATTAATAATACACATTCTACACCAAAATATTACAGGAATACTATTTAATTTACTCTTCCCCATCACCGATTCGTCCATAAAATTCTACTTCTACAACCAGAACGACACCAACAGCACCACTCCAATCGACATTTCCGATCCCGACGAAGTGTCCACAACCGGCTTCTCCAATACGAAAGACACCTTCTTCTGCATTCACGGCTTCAACGAGAAATCCTTCGATCCGCACAACTCCTGCCAGAAGATCAAGAAGACGGTGCTCGCCTCGCACGACATCAATTTCATCATGATCGACTGGAGCGGCCTCAACGGCAGCCTCCTCTACACCCACCTGGTGGACAACGCCTTGAAAATCGCCCGAATCATCGCCGGGAAGATCCTCGACATGGTCGATACCAGCGAATTGAACCTGAACCGAAGCCAAATCGTCGGCGCTTCGCTTGGCGGGCAACTGGCCGGAGCCGTTGGCACCGCTCTCGATGGAAGCTTCTACCAAGTTATCGGTAAGTACCTACTTATTTAGCTTCTGCGAGTGCTAAGATATTTCGCGTATAGGTCTCGATCCCGCCGGTGTACTCTTCTTCAGCTTCGACATGAAGTACCGCTTGTCGCAGGAATCGGGGCAATTCGTGCAAGTGATCCACACGAACGGAGGGTACATCGGGTATTATGATCCTCTGGGGCACGCTGATTATTACGCGAACGGCGGTCAGAAACAGCCACGATGCGGATTCGATCGGCTAGGATTCGGCGGATGCTCTCACACCAGAGCCGTGGATATTTACTTGGACACTTTGATCAACGGGACGGAATTCTTGGCGCTACGGTGCGATTCCCAGCAGGATTACGATGCCGGTCGGTGCAAGGATAATGGTAAATCGTACGTTGGAGGATATCTTGTCGATAGGAAGTAAGTAATATAATAGTAGCGTAAGTTGCTTGTCTGTATAGGAGGTATCCCCGTTTGGGGAATTCATTCGTTTGTGTTGATGTGTATTTTATTAATTTTCAGCGCAAGTGGAAAATACTTCTTTACTGATAACATGTCTTAGATGAGGTGTACTTATATCATTTTTCCTTATACATATACTACTAAAATATTATTAGAAATAAGATTTAATAAATATAAGATTAATACTAATAAACTATCAAGTAACGTTATTTTCCAGGATATTTTTATTTTCTATTGGCCATCATTCGAAAGAACCTCATCCAGAAATTAATAACATTTTCCCCATTTCCATATACCTCGTTTTCCGAAACGAATTCTTAACTTTCGGCCTAACTACATGCACGTGGAATCTAATTTAGCATCCACTTCTTCGTGCAGTTTCCAGCGGATATCCAATAAGCAAATTGCTGTTTGTAAAGTAGTCAATGCAATTTTGAATTCACCTGCAACTTCCGCTACTTCGACTTTCCGACGACGATCCATGGTATGGGTGTATGAGCGAACAAATGCGATAAAAAAGAAACTAGTTGATAGTGGAGTGGTGTAATTGTAAAGAGAATATATCATGACGTTATTGGTACGTTAACGTAAATGAACTATAAGTAATAAAAAATTTTCACGTGGTTAATCGATGATAAATCGCGACCTAAAGATATGTAACGTCACGGAAAAAAAGTTGATGATTTGTATGGAGCCGGTTTTTGAATTTCGCACGCTTTCGATCGTCCTTTATCGTGTTTGTTTTCACGGTTATATTAAATACATTGTGCGAAAAACCCGTCTCCCGACGAAAGATACAACTTTTTATCTGTTTTCCCACATCGAGATTTTACGGGTCCTTCGTAAAGGCGAACAGGTTATGGGGTGTAAAAATGTTAAAATTCAACTCGACTTTTATGGTACGCGTAATATATCAAGGAAATTGTGTAGAATTGTAAATGAAGTTTCTTTTTCCAGCGATTAGTAAAGGTTAACACGACGAAACTCGAGATGTGTAAATATGCTCTTAATATTTCAGAAAGTAATTCGGAGATGATTTTCTGTCAAATATTTGTTTTACGACTGAACAATTCAATTTCGCGTTCTCCGAGTTCCCGTTTCTGCATGTTTCACTAAGGATTTTTTAAATATTTAGCACTTACAATGCCAAGAATTTCGTTAATTAGCTTAGAAATTTAATTTGTTAGAAAATACTCTTAAGATTGTTGATTATTTTGCAACATATATCAGAGAGAAAATAACAGAAAATAATAATACCCCTAGACAGGGTGTTCTCGAATTTAGTGTACTAATTTCTACGGGTAATTCGCAGATTTCAATTTAATTTTGTTTTCGACTATAATAATAGATTAATAGCAAATTTTTGTAATACTTTAGTGATCTATTTGATAGTTTTAGTTCTTACTGTTCCTCTTAGTTTAGTGAATTCATAGTGTTCTCGGTTTAGTTAGTTCTTATGTTAGTGTTCTGGAACAAAAATTAAAGTTCGAAAACACCCTGTATGTATAATACTAGTCGATTTGTTTTTATTGTATAGTCTGTATAGTAGAACATAGTGTAGTACACGAGTGATACCGGTGTGGTGGGTGGTCCGTGTAATTGAATGTGTTGTCGATGCACCGTGGTGGCGCTCGTCGCTCGCAGGCCGATAATTACGGGTTTCCCCCAGGTATGCGTACTCCATTTTTTTATTCCACTCTACCTGGGCATTTCGTTGGAAACGCGACCCGACGACCATCGTCAAATTATACGTTTATCGCGACGGCGAAGCCTCGTTCACGAATTGATATATTATTTTCGGGAATCGCCGTGGCAAAGGGTAATCAAATCGCTCGAGTTACCGGTGATTTACGACCCGAGTATATACAGGGTGGTTCCTATTATAAAATATAAAAGTTTCATCCACCTCTGCATTATTGACTCAAAGTTATGTTAAATGAATTTCTTTGCTCGAAATATTCACTTACAAGACTTCTAACTACACATAAGAATTTTGCTAATCTTATTAATCTATTTATTTAAGTCTAATTTATTTTCTCGCCTGTAGGTATTAATTATACTGATTTCCGGTTCGTGCCGCGAACAATAACTCAATATTATACTCAACTGCGACTTTAATAAGAATTTGCATATCAATTAGCGTTTACATTTCGTACTTTTCCTCGGATAAATACGGATAAATATTGTAATCAGAGCCGGTTGTTTATATTATAAATAATTGTATGTGCATATCACGTTGCGCAATAATGCATAGATTCAGTTCATAAAATTGAATGCTAACTAATGGCGGCGGAATCTAATTTAAATGCGTTATATTCGAAATGTCGCGGTGAATAAACTATGCTAATAACAATAATGCATAAATCTGCTTGTTATACGTCAGTTTATCTAATTCAGTGATAACTCATTGTATTTATTTAGTGGTTTGTTACGAATGGGAAGTAAAAATCTATCGGGTGAAATTTGTTTTCGATATATTTTAAATATTGGGCACAATTTATTCATGTCGTTGAGCGAAACAATTCTTATTTTAGTTGAAAAATTCGCGAAAAACAGAAATGGATCCGTTACGGTTTTACGTATAAATAATTGAAAATCGCTAATGCCAAATGAAATATGAATGCTCTTAATGGTTTTGTGAATATTTCACAGCAATAAAAATATCACAATCTGATATCGAAAAATCATAAACACTGGATTTAATATTTGATTGAATATTTGATTTTATTTGACGATTTATACAATTATTTCACACATCGAATTTATAACTATACAATTTATATTTGCCGAAACAAAAATTGATTTTCAATTAAACTCGAAATATCTTAACGCAAAAAAAACTGTCAATCAATCATTGATCTATCGAAGGCTACTTATAAAATGATAAATATTTTTACAAACTTTAATAAAACGTCCGACCGATATTTTTTCGCGAATTCATTATAATTGGTGCACAACGAATCGTTTGATTGAATGTTTATTCAAAAACAACCCTTCGATTAATTGGTGAACAAAACCCCGTATAGCCAGAGAGTGTCCGGTCGGAGTTAAATCGAGAATGACCAGTTCACTAATTGAGATAATTAGAGAAACGTGTCGATCGGACCCTACGTTTCATTTGACAACTTCACATGTGCCCCGAATTTATGATTTTAATAGCTCCAATAAATTCCTGTTTATACACTTTAGTTAGTAATAGTGCCGTAGCGTCGAAACGACACGTTGTTTCCGATATTATTCGACTCATTATCGCGTAAAAATTGCGCTATTTTGACACACATCAAAGCTCAATTGGCTCGATAAAATTCGTTTTGACGTAACGTCAAAATAGCGTAAAGTATGAATAATTGTGCAGGTGATTTGGCGACAAAAAAATTCAATAAATAGGAAGAAACGTGCAAGCAGATGCTTTGACTGGGCCTGTCTCTGGGTTGTCACAACAAAAGACTTTTGGTCGACCAATATACGAATTGCGGCCAATAAAGTCGAATGAAAACCAATAAGGTTACTTTACAAATCAGGGGCGCAACCAAAATCTACAAGAATTTAACAATTTTCATGAAACTAGTTTGTGAATTAGTGTAAGGGTGCTAAATCAGGATATTATGCTGGTCATCTTGTACTTTTATGCCCAAAATTTTGATAAATAGAATCATTACAGTGTTGCACCAATTACTCAAAATTTAACCCCAAACCACCTCTATACAAATTAATTGCCTAAGGGGTATTTGACTATTCTATCCCCGCTGGCGCTACGGCTATGAAAAAGTCACGTCTGCGGTTCCATTTATCAAAAAGTGGCGAGGTAACAAAAAAATACCGACCGACAAGCCGTATTTCAAAACGTAACAAAGCCAAATTCGGGTGTTTAAGCTTTGTTGTCTTGCGTTTAGGGAAGCGTTAAAAGTCAATAGCTATTCGGCGTTGTATGTCATGCTCGTCTGACTTTTCGTCGTTTCGTACGATTTATAAACCAACCACCCCAACAACTACCCCTCATGTGGGGTAGTAGGATATCTCGCGTGTGGCCTTTGCTCGTGTAAATATTATTTAAATAATTTTATAACCTGTAGAATGCATCTTATTCTTCTCTAATCCGTTGATAGTTTATACTAATTTTATGTAGATAACATTATACGTTTGAAGGCAATTATAAATGTATTTATTCCATTTCCAGAGGAAACGGTAAATGTCTTGTCTAAATCAAGAAATTTAAGGGGATTGTGATGAGTCGAAAACCCACCCTTTTGGGCTGCATAACAGTTGTTTGACAAAGGTTAATTTCGAAGCTGGCTGTTACCTTTTTATTTTTATACGTTTCCGAAAGGGTGGAGTCGGAAGATTAATGACGAGACTAGCATATAGGCACCCCGAAATTTCTACGCCAGTAAAACCGGTAATTAAAATGGCAAATATTTGTTTTTTTTTTCGGTCGAAATTGATGCTCCTCTCGTACATCTGCCGGGTTAATTAATATCGACTCTCGGTCATCGAGCAGTTTCCGCGCCCGGAAATGTGGGTTAAGGATTTTTGAGTCGAGGCGAATAAATGTTTGTGATTTTCATTAATTTTCCGGCCTGAGAATTTCGACTAGTACAATAAGAATCCTAATTCCGTTAACTTTGAAATTAGTTTAATAATTCAGGAGCCGTTATGCGCGCGTTTGCTACACAAATTTCCGCTTAATTAAGCCTTTTAACGGTTTGTTATTTTCCCGTCAATGTTGGCAATTAACGAGTTTCCAGCACTTCCAAGATTCCGGGAGTTTATTAAAAATGAATCGATCGATTTTTTTACAAAACGACCTCCTGTAGGCAATAAATAACATCTCATTAGTTATTTGCGGTTCATCCCTCGACATCGAACTACAATTTCCCATCTAAATAATTTATCTCTAATAATAATAAACACCCCCTCTCGAAACGACCATTCGCACCCTCTGCGGTCGCGTTAGCGTCAGATTAATAAAAAATGCAAAGATGCACCTGCAATATTTATTAGCAATTTTTCTACACTGATATTGAACGAATTTTGATTTATTCCGATCCACGGGGGTGTCGTCAATCTGCCGCACGCTGATACCCAGCAGTGTCTACACAA